CGAGTAAAAGATGGACATTCTGGTGATTAAAGGGAACATATGCGAGTAAAAGGGGGAGTTTCTGGTGATTCAGGGCAAAATGTGTCTGAAAAGGGGACAGTGTTTGTCGTCGGGGTAAAAGGGGACAATTGTCCCATTTCGGAATTTTGTCCCGTTATTCTCTAAATGGAATGTCCTGTTTTTCTCCCCTTTTTAACACGATTTTCCCCATGTTTGTAGGATTGGGGCACCACATGGAGATGTCTGTGGTTGAAAGTACCTACAACAAGATTGATCTGCAGTTGAATGTCGATGGATTGTCCATCTCTAAGTCTTCTAACCAGCAGCTATGGCCCTTGTTAGGTAGCACCGCTCCTCAGTAGAGTACTCCTGATAGGTATATTCGGTAGTCCTAGCAAACCGAGCAGTTATAAAGAGTTATGCAATGACTTAGTATCTGAGCTAAAGGATATATTAAGTCAAGGCATACATACACATTACCAGACTGAACAGGCACTTCCACGTTCGTTTGACAGGCGTCATCTGTGATGCACCGGCTAGAGCGGACGTGAAATTTATAGTAGGTGATAATGCCAGCGCAGGTTGTGACAAATGCACGGTTTCCGGAAGAAAACTTGACGGCAGGATGACATTCGAAAATGGAATTTTTCCATTTCCGACTGATGACAGCTTCCATCAAAGGATGCAGTCAAGTCACCACCGTGGACAGTGTGTTTTTGAGGAATTAAACCTTGATATGGATGAGTGCTTCCCTGTTGACCCAATGCACCTAGTATATTTAGGGGTAGTGAGGAAGCTTATAAGTCAATGGCAAGACTTAGCTAAAACAAAGGAGATGCACATAATCCGGCCCATGCTTGAAAACATAGACGGGAAGGTATTAACTTGTGCTAGAATGACACCCCGGGACTTCCCGAGAAAATGTAGGGGGCTCACCGAAGTCAGTCGGTGGAAGGCCACTGAATGTCGCATCTTCCTCCTGTACCTAGGACCTGTATTACTTAAGGACACTCACTATGCCACCCGGAATATACTGCAACTTCCAGAGACTTACTTTAGCAGTTTACCTCCTGTCTCACATAAAGTCTCATCGCAATTACTTGGAAGGTTGCAGAGATGATTTAGTGAACTTCCTCAATGAGTTTGAAGTGATTTATAGCAGGGAGCACTGAGTTTATAATATTGATTGTCTGTTGCAGACACCTAGTGGAAGATGTCCATGAAATGGGACCGTATTTATTTAAATATTCCCCTCAGCCATCATTGTCAGCAAGTTCGCTTCTGCTACGATGCCCGAGGACGAAGTAATGAAAATTTTGAAAGACACTACTAAGGCATACTTCCACGACGTTTGTGATCGTGTAGAAAAAAGGGGGAGCCGACCAAGGGTAAGTAAACAGTTTTTGTTAAATTAAAGTTACTATACTACAAACCGTTTCATTGTATGAATTTCAATCAACGAAATTCTGTTTATATTTTTCACAGGTTGCTGTTGACAATAAGAAGAGTGACCAGAGGATCTGTGCTGTAAGTGACAATTTAATTAAATGAATGCTGTAAAAATACTGAAACTGAAGGTCTTCCAGTGTGAGTATTTATATGTAAACGAATAATTCGATTTGTACTCAATAATTGAGTAAATTTTTATGGCTAAATAAACACGTTTAATATATCATTATTATTATTAAGTCAAATGTCTGTATAAATGTCACCGTTGATTACTACCTTACTTACTAATCTTTTTTCCTTTTCAGGATAGTTCAATGGATTTACTTGATGGCGGGGAGCACATGTAAAGCTGCATTCATACTTCAGATGATTTCAAGCTTTATTTTTTTTCCCAAGTATTTGTAATCCACCCGAAACACACTTGGATTGTTTTTGTTAACGCGAAGACAATATTTCCATATTTCTTGATGTCCTCCATTGATGAAGCCTGTAAACTGGCGTCCCTCATGTAAAAACTGAGAATATATTATAATTACTTGTGTGTATCATTTGTAAATCTGAATGTTCATTAATCCTAAAGAATTCATTTTCCGAATTGTTGTTAACTTATTTTCCTTTAACCAATACACAAATTAAATATATTTATTTCCATAACTAAACTTGATTTGAATTGTGGATTGTTTGATGTAAAGAGAATTAGGGAAAAATGATGCGAATAGAAAGGGGACATTCTGGTGATTAAGGGGACAATATGCGGGTAAAAGTGGGGCATTCTGGTGATTAAGGGGACAGTATGCGTGTAAAGAGGAGACATTCTGTTGACTAAGGGGACAATGTGTCTGAAAAGTGGACAGTTTGCGGCGTCTGGGAAAAAGGGGACAATTTTCGTATTTCCGAATTTTGTCCCCTTATTCTCTCAATGGAATGTCCCATTTTTGTCCCCTTTAATAGCACGAGTTTCCTTGGGTTTTTAGTATTGTTTTAACTTAATAAAATTGTTATTTTGCATCAAGAATGTTAAAATTCTTTTTAGGTCGTAATTACGTTGGCAATATCAAATGGTCTCGTTTTGACCAATCAGATAGCTCAGCATGACAAATCGTTGGTGGTAATAATCCTCGCTGAAAATGCCTGTTGGCTGTTTCTACGTCGTCTGAATTTGGTGTTTATTCTTTACTGTTGCCATTAGTAAAATGTGATAATAATTAAATGAGTGGAACATATTTTCCTGAATGGTAAGTAATTGATTTGAATATAAGGTTTATGAAAATTCCATACTCACAAGATTTTACGTAAAATCTAATAGGCACCTCTTTTCGTAGCACTTATTTGATAGTAACTGTTCTTTAACACATCTTTCACTGTTTTTATTTTCCAGGTTATGCATAAGAACGTTACTTCTGCAATCTTTCAACTTACAGACGTTTGTAGTGTACATTGTACCTTCGAACTTTTGTTTGAACGAACTCACCTAACCTTTAACCCCACTTCCTCTTTGTATTCGTGAATCTCCTGTACGGTTTCGCTCTCTCGCTGTGCTTTCATCCAGCATACTCTCCGAGCTTACCACCGTCTCAACTGCAGATAAGTGTATACCCTCTTATTCTTTATCCAATCTCCTATTACTTTTGTGTAAAAATAACTCTGTTCCAGTCACGCTAGTTATCTCAAGTCTTTTTACCTTGATTCATTTCGTTAGTATTTGCGCATTAGGCAGAGTACAATTAAGGTCATAAAGCGGTGAAGAGGTTTTTGTAAGAGTGGCTAATTTAGGTCTAAGTTAACCCAAGTCTAACTCTTACATGTTCATGAAGCTTAAACAGAGGATATACGTATGAATGACGTGAAATTTGTGATATTATGAATGTATTTGTCGAAACAAATATTTCTGAAAAGTTTACATGCCATTCATACAGTAATCCCCGTCAGAGAATGCACCTGTGCGATGTGGGCAAAGCGTGCAATTTTAATCAGCAAAAGTGGGTTAAAACGCTACATAATTAACCCACTTTGCCCATATTGGCCACATTTTTCCCGTTTGCCCATATCCCGAAAAATTTTATTGTCCCATTTTTTCCAGTTTACCCACTGTTTCAACGAGCACTTTGCCCACTTTAGCCTTGTCATCTTCTAAAATAGCCCACTTATCCCACTTTGACCAGATTTGAACGGAAAATTACCCTCGCTTTAACCCATACATCCCGGGTCCCAAATAATATTCACCTACTGCTGTGACCCGTTGTAAATGTGACGCCAGATCTTGCAGGCTTATCGCAGATAACATTGTTAAGACGGAAGCCTATGTGCCTATCATTGATATGCAGACCATGTGCATATAAATGCTCCATGTCAGTGACCGCTGGCATTAAAACTTGTTGAAGTCGGACGGTTTATGAAAACCACCATACACTCCGATAAGGAATATATCACTGAGAAACGGTTTCACCAGTCTACCCAATATCGGCCAAACTTGCTGTGTACCATTGTTAAACAGTGACAATCCATTAACATAGTTCAATATCTTCAGGGAGGTCCCAACATATGCGCTCTTATTCCACCCTGACAGTGAACATAGCGCTAGGCTACATGTCCACGTCATGCGACGATCCAGTGATGCGCCTGTTGCTCGCATCTTGGAATTTATAAGCAAAACAACGGGATCTGACTTTCGTCCGGACAAAGCCTTCACTACACATTTGGGTTTTGTAACATCCAACATGCTGATCCTCAGATATCGCGCAAGTATTCGCACTAAGAACTGCCAACATGTTAACAGAGACCGAATATTTTGGTTCAATATAACCACCAATCATCAACGGGAAGTAAAAAATTATACTAAAACAAAAAGCATAGGTAATAGTAAAGAACAGACACCATAGCCAAGTGACCCTGAACCAACCAATCAGATCGCTCAGCATTCCAAATGGATGCTTTTCACATAATCTTTGTTGAAAGTTTCACTCTGACCCTAATCCAAAGCCTTAACTCTGAATCAGGAACGCTGAGCAACCTGATTGGCTGGTTCAAGGCCATTTGGCCGTGGTGTCTATTCTTTACTGTTGCCCAAATCATAATTGTGATACCTGTCGCACAGGGGGTGTGTGACTGTTATGGTCCAAGTGCATAACGCTTTGGCATTTTAAAGGATGGATGCTAACTAGGTTCGAGACTCAGCGGGAATGCAAGTGCATCTCTAGCTGACGAGTCCCAAGATCAGAGCCAAATAAACATCCTCAACTCCAGTACTAGTCACCATCCACCAAAATAACAAGAGTCTATAAATTAATTTACAAGACATTTGCATTTTATTATCCCACACATAGTTAGTTATCAATTTATTACAATGTACACTGAAATAAAGGAATGAATATAATACACAAAAAATTGTATATTCTTTAGAAAAGAAGTTAATCTATCTGTTATCATACACACACATATATATATATTGTCTGTATCTGCTTCTCTGCGCATTTTGGCATACAAAAAGAGAAGAAATTCACCGAAAGACACGTAAAGGGAGAAAAATATCCAAACAATTTTTATTTGTTTATTCACAGAAGTGCTGTAAATACACTAGACGATCGATGACGTTTTAAACTTGGAGGACTTAACAAAGCTGAATGCGGTTTAATCATGTCCATTGAACGTTTATGCTGAAATTGAAGATATGGAAGAAAAGAAAAACAATGCAATAATTAATATAGGTGGGCAGAATGTGAGTTTCGTCTTCTCTAGGCCTCATCAACTACTTCATTGGCACAGATATAAACGCAGTGCTTGAAAATAAATTGAAGACAGACGACAAGAGAAATCGCTATTCGACTGGATATAGTGTTGTGTAACGGCTCAAATTACAATATATCATATTAGAATAGTAAAGTGAAAGGTAATAAGAGGGTGAGGGGGGGTTGAAACACAATGTAATATCAGGAATTACGGGGAATTCCGTAAGAAATATTACGACACATAAAGCAGATTAGTAAACCAAATGTTAAGAATTTTACAATGCATCTACGCTTTACCATTTAGAGACATCTGTTTCTGTTTGACAAATAGAGAGATCTAGTGGGTTCTGGTTTAGAATATTTCCAACAGGTTGCAGATCTTTATCAACAACTAAATGTCTTCGCTGGCTCTTTACTGAAGATCAGATGGCCGGAAACAATCACCAACAAGAAACTATGGGAACAAACAAAACAAGAACCAATCGCCCGACAAACATGCAGGAGGAAGTGGAGATGGATTGGACGCTCACTCGCTGAGGAGGCCACTCGCCGGGTGACATCGCGCGTCAGGCCATAGCTCGAGTGGAAGCCAAAAGGGAAGCGGCGAGTGGGACGTCAGTGCAAGGGTGACATGGAGGAGATCGTGTGAAGAGGATTCAAAACAGTATGCATTAACATGGATGCAGGTGAAAAGTACAGCAGAAGACAGAAGCAAGTGGAGACGTGTAGTTGAAGCCCTGTGTTCTACTAGGAACCCAAAGGAACAATAATAATATAATAATAATAATGGGTACTGGTTGAAAGCGAAATTAAAATCTGGGTTGCGACTGCAGGATTCAAACCAGCCGCCATCTCCGAATTACTGAATCAATGCTCTACTGACTGAGATACCACTAACCGTGTGTGAGAATAGACGGATAAAAGCGTATGAGGTAACTCTAAACTATAGCGATCCAAAACGAAACAACTTAATAAAGACCATGAAAAATCGCTATCGATCAATCAGTCAAATGAGTCCGAAGTAACAGCAAATAATTTAAAAAATTTTTTTTAGAGAGAATCAACATAATGTGTTAAAGAAATAATTACATAGGGTAGCGTTCCTGTATGTGTTGCAAGGAAACCTCCCAATTTCCCAATGGAGTCCTTATCGATAGGCCAAACCAATTTCTATACATATATATTCATCCAGATAGCTGTAAATCATCATGTCTCTTGACCCATTTACTGTTCTCACCTTCTTTTTTAAATGACTCCATAAACTTTCGGTGGAATTTTTATGAGTCCCGTCGAAAGGATCAGCAAAATCGGACGGAATTTCTTCTACGGCAGATGGTTTAGGCATCTGTGCACAAATCCATCAATAAAGGCTGTGTATCTCTGTTAATGCATTACTCACATTAGCATCCCCACATGTCTTCTCTCTTCCTATGAGCCTGTTATCTATACAGTACTTAGATACTAGATTTGTAAGAAATCTACTACGTAATTCATGTGCAGCATTCATAGTTCCACCTATATACTACAAGCAACAAGTTGGCAGAAGAAGCATCCGAAGAAGATAGGACCTCAGGTGAACATAGAGGAAACAGAGGTGATGAAGATTCCTGGGCAACATCACCAACAGCAACAACAACAGACAACAATCAGCCAGCATAAATGCAAGGAACCTGAAAGAAACAACCTCCTTCACCAACCGACCTACCTGGGAAGCATCGTTTCGACTACAGGCGGACAGAACTGACGAGGATATCAAAGCAGCGAGGATCGGAAAAAGCAAGACAAGCTTTCATTACTCTCAAGTCTGTGTGGAGGTCAACAGCCCTACTCAGCATCAAAACGAAGATAAGATCCGGATTTTCAACTCCAATGTGAAGTCAGTCAGTGCTACTCACTATACGGATGGATCAGAGACTTGCACTGCGCGTCATAAACAGCATCTCAAACAAACTACAGACCTTCATTAACAGTTGTCTTCACTCAATACCACTCAAGATCAGATGGCCGGCCAGAAAAGATCAGCAACAGAGAGGGATCTCTGGCAATGAGCGAACCAACTCTCCTCCATGTTACTCTCGGATGCCCTCCTCGTTGTTTCCCACTCGAGGGCCTGGCATGCAATGTCACTGAACGGTGTTCTCTGGGGTGTGCCCTATCCATTTCCATTTCCTTCAACATATTTGCTGAGCAATAGGTTCCAAACTCCCTTAAATCTCGTTTACTCTATTTGCTTTATGTCGTGATTTTCTTCTTACAGAATTCCGCGATTCCTGGCTAAATTATTTTTTGTTTTATTTTTCACTAAGCGCCTTTTACTACCTACCGTCCCACTTTACCATTCTAATATGATGTATGATAATTCAAACCGCTGCACGGTTATGTCCAGTCGTCTTCTGATGATTTTAGCTAGTTGTCTGTCTCTCTTCGAATAAATTTCAAAAGCCATCCATCGATCAATGTACAGGAAGGTGTTACCAGCATAGACTCTAAAGTCACTAGACAGTTAGTTTGTTTAGACTGCCCCAGCTCATATTTAGTCACCAAGCATAGAAGGCCACTGTTGACTCAATTAGTTTAACTTCAATTTCTTTGCAAACTTTTCAAAAGATGGTGTTCTGTAAATTTGTCAACTGGCTTGATATCCGTATGTTGTAGTACTCCACACTCAAGTCTTATTATATTTATAAAATTCTGTCACATATCATCTGGATAAATATTATATTATTACATATCACAATCTGTGGTCAAATTTGGAATAAATCAAATCCATACAAAAATACTCTTGAAAATTAATCTGATACTCGCTATTGACTGGCCATAGGACGAAGTTGCCTACACAGACCACCTGTACTGATGACACACAAACTTTTAAACCTTCTAAAATCAAAGTCAATATTCCTGTATATGCTAGTGTCATATTTGTAAATCAATACTAATCAGATAACACGATATTCGTACAGCATACCCACCTCACCCACCTCAATGAGTTAGTACAGGTCAGCAAATTCATTCGTGCTTATTACATGTTTCCGGGTTACTTGAAGAATAAATGGTCTTAGAAAAAGTCTTAGTGACACGGCTAGAAATCGACCATCTTCAAAGCTTTAAACCACTTTGTCAATTGTCGTGGTACATTGTTTTAGAAGGGGGGGTTTGGTCAGTTTAAAGTGATGCCTTTCTTTTCACAGTTTTACACAGGTCTGTCTGTCCTTAGTCTGTAATACCTTTGCGTATATAAAGTGAGTTTTAATTACCATTCATTGTGTTTTGACGTTTTTACTTACCTCAAATTCATCATCTCTGAACTGACTGTTAAGCAGTCGATTTGTGTGTGTGAGTTTCACTAAGGTATTTTTCAGACCAAATTGCAACTCTACGCATCATCATCACAGAACAAAGCATGGAATGGCAATCAAACCTCTACCTCAATTTAAAGACTTTGAGAAGGCCTTCCACAGACAGCGTTGACCGCGAAGTAATTTGGGAACTACTCGAGTACTACGGCGTACCAGAAATATTCATCAACCTTATTCAACAGCTGTACGACAACGGCACATTTCAAGTGATCCACAACAGAAAACTCAGTGAGGCGTTTGGAGTAAACACAGGAGTCAGACAAGGGTGCTTATTATCACCAATGATATTTCTAATTGTGGTGGATTGGACTGTATTATGCGTCAGACAGTGGGAACCGAGAAAACAGGGATATTCTGGACCGACGTGAAGAATCTAGAAGACCTGGATTTCGCAGATGATTTATGTTTGATGTCACACAAAATCGAAGACCCACAAGAGGAAACCGACAAACTGGTCGAAGAAGCAGCAAAGACAGGACTGCAGGTGAACATAGACAAGACGGAGGTTATGAAAATAACCAACCAACAACAACAACAACAGCAACATCCAGCGCCAATCACCATCAACGGGAAGATTTGAAAGAGGTTACTTCATTCACTCACTTATCTAGGGAGCATTGTCTCAACTACAGGCATGTGGAACGGACGAGGACGTCAAATGGAGAATCGGGAAGGCGAGAAACACATTCATCAACCTGAAACCAATCTGGAAATCTTCCGCTGTCACTCAACTCAGCGTCAACAACAAAATTCGGATTTTCAATACAAGCGTCAGTCAAGTCAGTCAGTTCTTCTATACGGATGGATCAGAAACTTGGCGGCGGGTCACAAAAAATGAGTATTTCCAACAGCCTGTTGCACACCTTTATCAACAACTAACTGTCTTCGCTGGCTCTATACTGACGATCAGATGGCCGGAAACAATCACCAACAAGAAACTAAGGGAACGAACAAAACAAGAACCAATCGCTCAACAAATATGCAGGAGAAAGTGGAGATGGATTGGACACTCACTGGCTGAGGAGGCCACTCGCTGGGTGACATCGCGCGTCAGACCAACGCTCGAGTGGAACCTGAAAGGGAAGCGGCGAGTGGGACGTCAGTGCAAGGGTGATATGGAGGAGATCGTGTGAAAAGGAGTTGAAACAGTATAGACTAACATGGATGCAGATGAAAAGTACAGCAGAAGACAGAAGCAAGTGGAGACGTGCAGCTGAAGCCCTATGTTCCACTAGGAACCCAAGGGAATAATAATAAATGTAAATCATCCGTGAAGTCCAAATCTCCCATTGTCTTCTCATCGGTACAACGTATGCTCGTCACCCTTCGTGTGAACTAACTACGTCCCGTTGAAACCACAGTATATATATGAAGATAAAAACACCACATAATGCTGACTTACCTTCATAGTAGTATTCTTAGAAGATCCTTGAACAGCTGATTGATTGCTTCCACTATCAACATTATTATCAAATGATGGATCACTTTTCTCTGATTTTACATTTGGTGTAGCAACACTGAAACACGACAGACCAACTTTATTGCGTAAACCTAATAAGTGTGCATGATTACCACGACGATTATTCTGATTATTGTTACTGTTATTATTGTTATGAGTATTACTATTTGTTGGTGGGTCAGTATCAAAATCTTCAGTGAAACTTAAAGCCTTTTTAGGCAATTCAGATTTGAAACCTGGAAGAAAACTTCCAGTAGGACGACTCAACAAAGAGCCACGCTAAAAGAAGGAGAACAAGTAGAAACAAAAATAGCATATAAGTAAAATTTAGTTAAAATTGTATATAAGTGAGGAGGTTAGGCGAATCAATATGTAAATGTTTTTGACAATGAGAAATATTGAAATAATAGAGAAGATTTGTAGCTCAGGTGGATGATTTGCAATTAATGGTGTTCTCTGAGCTGGTTGGTTTAGTTGCGAAGCTTTCGTCGTCCTTCTGGACAACATCTTCAGCGCAATTTTCAGCATAAAGTGAAATGATTTAAATTTCTTCGTGAGTGATATAATTGTGTCTCCTGGTAACCATCTTTACATATGTATTGACCATTTTTTATAGACTTGAATTTTAAACTTTCTGGTCATCTGATTTACTTTTTATTAGTTGATATATTTCGTCTATATTAACGTGTTTGTTAATTGCATTTCCGTTTGAGTACCAGGCTTCTAAGAATTCCCTGGCACTTTTAGTGTTTCCTCTGTCTAAGATTTTGACATTATCCCAATGAAATTGATGACCATAATTGTCTATATGCATTGATACTAAAGAATACATATCGTGTCTTTTCACGTCTGATTTGTGTTCTTGGATTCTGATTCGAAGGGGACGCCCACTTTGGCCGATGTAATGCTTATTGCAGTTCATACAATTTATTTTGTAAATGGTATTAATTTTATCTCCTTTTTCTGTTGGATGTGTCTTTCGGTTTGCATAATATCGAATTAAGCTATTTGACTGGCTTGTGTGCTCCGCAACTAAACCAACCAGCTCAGAGAACACTATTAATTGCAAATGAGAAATATTCTCAACTAACTATTCGTGCATCTTTAGTTTTGCACTTAACTTTCAGTCATCCCTTTCCAGGTTCACATTCCATTCTACTTGCTTCACAACCTGGGCTACTATGTAGTATCATTGATTGTGATTCATAGTTTGGTATATAAAAAAAACCCGGTTCCGGATGAACTGAATTCTAACTGATTATTATATTTTTATTGATAAATCAATTTTCTATAGTTTGGTTTGTAAGGGTTTGTTATGTTTTTACGAGTTGATCACGGATTGATATCAGTTAGAGAACCATTGAAAACCAGCACCGGAGTACTGGACAGCTGCTGTTTCATCCTAGTTTGGGAATCATCGGCAGTACGCACCCACTGGGATTTGAAACCCAGGACCTTCCGGTTACAAGGCAAGCTGGCTCGTATACCATTCAGCCACTGGGACCTGATTCAATGGCCAGTCCATGAATTCTAACTTCTACCGACTCATGATTTAGCGCAACCCCAACCAATCGGATGCTAGCTAGTGACTTGCTACAGGATGGAGTTTCCTGGAGTTCTAGTGAGAAGTCGTGACCAGTGAGGTCCAGTTAGATGTCACGTGTGTGGATGGATGTCCCACCAACGACAATGGTTAAGGGTCGCGCTAAATCACGAACTGGTAGAAGTTAGAATTCATGAGCCATTGAATCGGGTCCCAGTGGCTGAATGATAAACGAGCTTGCCTTGTAACCGGAAGGTCCTGGGTTTCAAATCCCAGTGGGTGCGCACTGCCGATGATTCCCAAACTAGGATGAAACAGCAGCTGTCCAGTACTCCCTGGTAGGTTTTCAATGGTTCTCTAGCTGATATTAATCCGTGATCAACTCGTAAAAAGGATAAATCAATACAAGAGAACGGTCTCAGGATCAAAATAATCTTATATTATTTTTTGACATTCTGTTTATATCACTAATCAGATGGGTATGCGTTTATAGTGAGGGGAGGGGGTCAATAAAACAGATTATATCTCAGGCAGTAGTTACTAGGATTAAACTACAGTTTCATCCTTTCCTCTCTTTCTGAAATCAAAATGAACTGGCGAACTTTGTTTATGTGGTCTTTATACATACATCTATATGTTTTCACGATGTTTTTTCTTGAACAATTCTATTTCTTTTAATTATAATAATAATAATAATCTGCTTTATTCCAAAAACAATACTTATAGTACAGAATGGAATTCTCAGCATTTGTCACAATATTCCATCTGATTTACTCAAAATATAAATAAAAGTAACCACAGCAATTTGTCCATCTTTACAGTAGGAATAAAGTCAAAAATGTGTAGAGTACAAAATAATTAATAATAATAGGTTTATTTCAAATAATATTGTCAATACAGTTTGGAAATTTTAGCATGTTATAGATTATTGAATCTAATGTTCCCTTGATACAGCATGGTGAAGGGAAAACAAAAAAATAACGGTTATTACAGAGCTTTAATAATGTTTACACTTATGAGAATTAAAAGAAACAAAAACATTGATAGGATTGTAAATATAAGAAGAATAATAACAGTAAAGCTTGGTGGAATAAAGGATGGAGAAAATGGTTTATTTACTAGTGCATAGAAGATTAGTTAGTTCGTCCCTGACACAATTTTCATCAAATAAAATACGTGCCTCATATGGTATCGTCGAATTTTTATACTTATACCTGGGTGCATAAAGTCTTTTGAAATGACTTGTTTTACCTGAGGAGACACAAGGTTGGAGCTGTGGGTAAAATGGATGCTCACAGTCGGAAAAAATTCTTTTAGCGAATTTGTTACATGAAATCAAGTACCTATTAATGACGATGTCAACGATATGGCTCAATGGGATACCACTTGCCCTCCTGACAGTCTTCTACGAAGTATGACATAGTCTTTTTTCAGTAATCCAGGAAAGAATAAGGGTTGACAAAAACTGTGAGAGGAGGAGTTGAGTTATGCCTGAGTGCCTTAACTTCTTATTATAAAAAGTCAGACGGAATATTTTTTGGAAATCACTAAGACATAGGAAGACCAGGGTAGATCAGAAGAAAGAATTAATCCAACATACTTAACTTCAGACTTAATTTCTATATCAATGTAATCAATTTCTCGACGGTCATAGGAATAAACAGCTTCATTTAACTGTCTTTTACATCGGAAAATGAAATTAACAGTCTGACATTTGCAAGGATCTAGTATAAGATCATTAGGCAAAGACCGTTTGCTGACTCTTGGTAGAAAGCTGTTCATCTTAGTACAGTCTAACTGGAAGTTAGCAGATATTGAAATCGTTAGATCGTCCGTAAACTTAGCAAAGTTCATTTCATCAGAGTGAGGCATGTCGTGCGAGAAGAAACAAAACAGAAAAGAAGAAACAACAGTGCCTTAAGGGACGCCAGCCTCCGTAAGCAGTGAAGAGAACGACTTCCACTGAAATACAGTGTGTACTGCTTTCTTCCTGAGAAATAAGACTGCAGCCAGTTGACAACCCAATCCCTACGTACTGAGTTAAAAGCAGATGTGTAATCTAGGAAGGCGCAGCGGACAAATTTAGCCCCTTTATCTAAACTAGAGACAATGTTATGATAATGTTATAATATATATTGTGTCTCGTTTAAGTGTGGCGCATCTTTTGGTGGAATCCGTAAGCTTAAATAATTATAGTAATAATAAACGGTGAGTGAAGTAAATGAACAAGAACAGTTTCTCATATCAATTTTACATAACTAAATGTCGAACTCAATGCTCATTATTATTATTATTGTTTGCTTTAATTCCTAGAGGAACATAGGGCTTCAGCCAGGCGTCTCCATTGCGTTCGGTTCTCTGATAGAGTTTTCACCTGGCTACAAGTCTGCCCACACGTTTTCATCTCCCCTTCACATCACCTCCTCCAAGTCACCCACCCTCGCACTGACGACCAACTCGCCACTTCCCTTTCAGTCGGGTTACACTCGAGCAATGGTTTGTCTAGTGATGTCACTCACTTGATGGTTTGTTTTCTCAGAGTATGACCAGCCAATCCATCTCCATTTCTTCCTGCCTATTTCTTTCACAATCGGTTCCTGCTGAGTTGGTTCGCTCATTGCCAGAGATCCCTCTCTGTTGCTGATCTCTTGTGACCGGCCATCTGATCTTGAGTAGTATTGATCGAAGACAACTGTTAATGGAGGTCTGTAGTTTGTTTGAGATGGTCTTTATGACGCGCAGTGCAAGTCTCTGATCCATCCGTATAGTAGCACTGACTGACCTCACATTGGAGTTGAAAATCCGGATCTTATTTTCCTTTTTGATGCTGAGTGCTGAGTGTTGACCTCCTGCACACAGACTTGAGAGTAGTGAAAGCTTGTCTTGCTTTTCCGATTCTTGCTTTGATATCCTCGTCAGTTCCGCTGGCCTGTAGTTGAGACGATGCTTCCCAGGTCGGTTGATGAAGGCGGTTGTTTCTTACAGGTTCCTTCTATTTATGCTGATTGTTGTCTGTTGTTGTTGTTGCTGTTGGTGGTGTTTCCCAGGAATCTTCATCACATCTGTTTTCTCTATGTTCACACCTTAAGTCCTATCTTGCTCAAGCATTTGATAATTTCCTTTCATCAGAATAAAAATGTAAAAAAAAGGTGAAAGCACAAACAGATAAGAAGAAAAGAAATAACTTACTCTGACCACTGGAAGTTTAACATCACGAGTGTTATTATCAGTATCCAATATGGGCTTTATAAAATCAACAGATTTACAAGTATTATTATTATCCTTGGTTTTATCATCATAATCATTATCATCATCATCATCACCTGCATCAACAATATCATCCTTGCTGATATGTTTATCATTCTTAATGGAGGTGGTATTAGTTGTCTTTGTTGTAGTCGACTCACTAGTTGTCAATTTAGGCTTTAAAAAGTTGGATATTGATGCGTTTTTAACAACATGACACGATTTTGTAGTTTTCCCTTTAAAACGCAAACAGAGGAAGAGAGGAAAAAATAAAAATAAAAATATGCAGAAGAAGCTATATAGATTGATTGGAAATTTGTTAACTGTATAATTAATTATGGTTCCTATATGAAGAGCCATTTCTATTCGACTTCATCATAGACGTACTAATGGACTTAACCCTAACTGCTGACTTTGGGGACTCAGGGATTGACTTGCTACCAGGGAATAATCTCGTTGAATTAGAATATGCAGATGATATAGTCCTGCTAGGCGAGGACGCTGACAAAATAGAGCAGAGTCTACTGAACACCTTGAGCTGCAATCCACAAATGTTTGGCATGCGATTCGCTCCTGCCAAATGCAAGATGATGTTACAGGATTGGACTATACTGACTCCTAGATTAGAAATAGGAAGTGAAGTGGTAGAGCACGTTGACCGCTTCACTTACTTGGGAAGTACCATCAGCCAGTGCCAACGGGTTGATCGCTGACGAAATCTCAGCACGGATACAGAAGGCTAGTTTCGCATATGCCAGTTTACGCCGTCTCTGGCTTAGTAGACGTGATATCCGACTATCGACCGAAGGGCGTGTGTACTGCTCATCAGTCCGCTCAGTCCTCCTTTATGGCTGGCTGTGAGACCTGGCCATTGATAGTGGAGGACATGAAAAGATTGGCTGTCTTTGATCATAGGTGTCTGCGTTCTATCTCCCGTGTGAAGTGGTATAATAAGGTGAGCAATATTGAGGTTAGGCGTCGGTCGAGTGCTACGTAAGGAGGGGAAATCAATCGACGAGGCTGTGAAATTACATCGATTGAGATGGTTAGGATATGTGTTATGCATGCCTAGTCATCGCCTTCCTCGACAATGGACAATGTTAGCTGACATAGGGTCAGGCTAGAAAAGAGCTAGTGGTGGCCAAACCAAACCATGGCTTCATCAGTCAATGAAATCCACAAGAGTTAGTTTAAGCCAGCCACGTAGGAAGGTGTAGACTTCCTGACTGGTTGGGGTCCTCGTGATGGACGGTAAAAACCAATGGTTGGAAACAATTGGTGACATGGCTAGCTCAAAATCGTTCTCAATGGCTAGCGCAGATGCATCCACTCCTTGTGACTAATGATTTCCAGTTAAACTGTTTTATTCTTCGTTATTACTATTTCTTTGTCTCTCACCTCTGTTTACTGTCTCTAATATGCATTTCTCCTACTTTCTTCTCTTGCTTTGTGCGCTACAAGGAGGGAGTGTGGCGACTTGAACAGCCGCACATATGTGCAAAGTTCTATGTCGAAAACAGACAGACTATAATTCAAATTAGTAGTGTAGCTTTATATATGTGACGAGATGATGTCTCCAACAATAAGAGCCTAAACTTCGTCTACTTTTTAATTAAAAGATAGAAAATGTGGTGGAAAATACACAAGAAATAGAATAAATAACTCACCACGATTAGCTGATATTTTATTTTTAACAATTATTTGAGTTTGCATTTTTGTTTGAGTTTTCATCAGTGCTTTTCTTCCAAGGGATAAAACCTGTAAAATACGAATATATATAAATGTTTAATTAAAATAGAGAAGGTCTTTGCTGCTAAATATTTATCAACCAGAAAGGCATAAGTTGAACACCATTTTTGAGAATCTTCAAACACTGCTGAGTGATAAATTGAAGTTTAGAGACATCAGATTTACATCCAACCATTTCATCTGTTACTTTCACTAGAAGTCGACTCTCAACGGAGTGAAATTTTTTACAATTCGCTATCAATATTTCATCCTCAAGCTTTCTGACATAATCAGAACTAAATTTCTAATGAAGTCAGCGATAGTTTAATGAAGGCGAGGCGAAAAACTACCTATGACAACTCTCAAGTGTATCTCCCTTATCCACAACAATACAATGACGCATACACATATTCAAATGAGTGTGTACGAATGTGAATGAAATGTCGAATCATGTTGCAATTTGTATTTATGTAAGCTATATTGGTAAGTGAAAATGAGTGGCTCACTGCTCTAGCTGCTTGACTTAACGCCACGGATTCGAACTCCAGTCTCTACCTTACCGAGATTCAGACAGCTAGGTAGCATCATTAACCCAGAGAAAAAAGTACGTTTGACTGATAATCACAGAGTAACATTTTTGTTGTTGTACAGGCTTAAATCGAAAAAGGATGAGAAACAACCACAACCACGACGTAAACAGCATTATTTAACAACTGAGATCTAGCCAATCCCACAGAATTACAGAATAGAATGTCGGGTCATAAAAAGAAGAGAATAACAAGGATTAAAGGATTGAAAACATTGCTATGTATGCTATTTACTGCACCAATAGTTTTACCTCCACAGCTATATGAATCATAACCATCTACACATTTGTTATCTCAGGGTTGCATGAAAATGATTGCACAAGGAATCACACTAAGGTATTTATCAGCCAGTTAGAGAAGAACTTTGATAACAAATTATAGTGAAAGACGTCGAAAAAAGACCGTGCAACCCCATATTACCAGTCCTATCCTTATAGTTGATAAGCAACAAAAAGTAGTGAAATTCAGGAAATATGTTTACTTCCCCTAATACAATAATTTTACGGTTTACACATCTGTATCACCTGTCAGATAAGGATACCACTATCACAGACAGAAAGTACTTAGACTTACAAATATTCTCAGTAGTCCCCCAATTGGAAATCTATGAAAAAGGAGAGAGGTGTTAGGACGGGTAACATGTCATTGTTAGTCGTCAAGTCATGATTGATGCTATCAATCAGATATTGATTGCCTGTTTATGGGTTAAATTTCCGTGGATGTGTAAACGATATATATCCAGTACTTTGGTTAACATGCGTCGGTGGCATAGCGGTTAGGACGCTCGCCGACCATGACATGGTCCGGGGTTCAATCCCCGACCGGCGCACTCCTTTACCTCACTGAGCCAGAAATAGAACTGGTGAAGAGGAAAGGTTGGGCATAAACACTCCAACAGAAACTTCAAGACTCTAGCTTGAAGCCTTATGTTCCACTGGGAACGTGAAGGAATAAAAAAAACTTTGGTTAACACAGTTGTTGTCAAAGTCAAATCTGACTTCTCTGCGTCTACTCAGTGTGGCGGCGTATTCCCAAGTGATTCCAAGTTAGCTACAGTGTCGTGACTGGAGGTTCATTCTACTCAAGTTAGACAACAACTAACAAATCAGTGACACTCCATTATAACATAAACTATTTATTTAATGATTCAAATTTTGTGAGTGGAGAAGCATATGAGCTCATGATGTGGTGATACGAGAAAGTGCTGAAGAAGCTGAGCCATACAATCCCTACAATACATTGTTAACCGAGGATGTTAAGGTACTTTAATACACAAAAAAGGTATATGATGAATATATATATATATATATATATATATATATATATATATAATATATAAAGCCGATCTAATTTTAATACCTCTCTGATGGGTTATCACAAGATGCCGAATCTCATTGTCAAACAAATCTATTTCGTACTTAACCTCAATGTGGCTCATAGGCTTGTATAGTCGATTTTCATCTAGTGGTACCAGGGTTTGAATCTTGGTCAACTTTATCAACTCTTAAGCTATACGTGTGGTTTATACCCTGGAACACGAAACACCTGTTCTAGAGATTGAGAGTTCATTCAAATGACAATGAAAAAGACAGTTAAGAGAGTCTTTTTTAATTACATGAAGAACGAAGAAACTTACTGTATTTGAGTCAATATTATTCTGTAGATTTTCCTTATTATCATTATTATTATTGTCATCATCATCGTCATTGTCTGATCCTGGAAGCGTATCTTCATCATTAGGATTATCTTTAGATTTTTTTTGTATTCCATCCGAATCAAGATCAACATTCTCCATAGACTGATCATTATCAGTATTGTTCTGTCCACTAGAAGAGTTTAGTTTTGAACCTAATGGACCACGTAACCAACGATCCATAGGACCATATGGTACATCACCTTCATCATTTGAACTTCCATCTCCGTCATCATCATCATCGTCCATATTCAATTGATCAGCAAATGGATCATCATTATCTATAGTATTGTAATAAGAGTGAGTAGTCAGATGACGGTTACAAATTGTGCAAAGTATATAGAACATACATTGAAGAAAATGTAGGTAGAGTTAAAGAGTAAATAGTAAATAGTCCTGTCGGACATCATTTAGTAGTCTAAACTAAATGGTCTCATGCTGAATCCCTCAAAATGCCAGACTACTGACTTCTCCTTTAGGCATAAACGAGATCTACAAACACTAGTAAGTACTAATGAAGCCTGTTGCATTGAGGAGACTAAAATTGAAACTAAGTCTACTGCAAAATACCTCGGTCTAGTTCTATCTTCCGACCTTACTTGGACATCTCATATCCTAACGATTTCTGAGAAAGTGTTCTGTCTAACCTACTATATTAAGAATCACCCAACCTCTACATGTATCTTACCTATTCTACTTTACTGCTCTCCGTTAGTCTTTCCTGGGCTACTGAAAAAGGACTACACCATCCTGAGAAGGATGTTGAAGGTAGTTACTAGGACTAGTGGTGTAAAACTCAGTCAGCTCGTCACTACATTAGTTGGTAGGCATCTGAATACATGCGAAAAATGGTCTAAAACCATACTCTCCAACCAACAACACCCCCTCTATTCCCAACTCTCTCCTTGTATTTCATCAACTAGAACCAGAAATCAGTATAAAATAATCTATGCTCGTACAACCAAGTGCAGGAACTCAAGGATACCATATTTGGCCCGAGTTCTAAGTGACAGAGACAATGTTAAGCGCGAAACCTATGACTTGCTTTGTTGTTAACAACATAATTTTAGGCTCTTTTATTTCTCTCTTATTTTGTATTCTATAGTGAACTCCTTCTTAAACATACTTAGCCACCTAAATTATTAACATTGGCTTACTTTTTTGTACTTTGCTATATTCCTTCTATTGTGTATCTACTGGTTTCAACTATATTAGCTCTATGAGTATCACAAAAGTATCCTGTCATTAACCATCATGTAATTATTAGTTTTTGTGGTTGTTGTTATTTTTTTGTTAGGTAACATTAACTGACAATCTTGGTTGTGAACGCCATTATCACCATCTTAAAATTTTGTATTATGCAGGATTACTCACACTACCACTACAAACACTGCATTAGACCTGAAAAAACAACCCTGAAATGTTATTTTATGATTGTTTAGTGTTGTTTCAACTAAATTAACTGACCATCTTGGCGATAAACATTCTTAAATATCATTTCATAACTTCTTGTATGACTATAGCTTTACTGCCACCATGCATAATCATATCATAGCTTCCACTACCCAATACTGAGATATTATTTTAAGTTGTTTATTTTCCTTTCTACTTCTTGGTGTTTTTTCGCACTTTAAAACAAATTATTTTTGTTTGTTTGTGTTTTTATTGTTGTTGTCTTTATATTTATTTTTTTGAAAAACTCCTTTAAAATGTTTGATAAAATTAGATACAAATATTGTAGATATGTGCCGAAAATTCCACACTGTACCACTAGTACTGTTTCTGGAATAAAGCAAATTATTATTATTATAAAACTATTCTTATCATCGGATTAACAGGAGGTTATCTTTATGTGTGATGAATTATATGTGGCGGAAATCGCGTCAGTAGTTCAGTCAGTGGTGGAGTGAATTAAAAGTCAATCTGAACGAAGAATATTCTTTTCAATAGTTTCTCTTCAGGTTCTTACAGTTATAAAATATAATATTTGTTGTCGTTACAATAAAGGCCAGTTATGCGGCAGGTACATTTTTAACGTAGAATAACAGATTATTTATGGGGTGTCAAAATAAATAGTCGTATTTGTGTGACAAACGTGCTAGGCTGAATTCGATTACAAAATATTGGAAAACGGCAGACAATAGTGGTGATTAATCATAATAGATTTGTAGAGCGTGGGGTAGGAAAATTGACAAGTCAGTTCAAGGTTATAAAAGGTGTCAGGTGAATGAGTGGCTAGTACAAAGTGGTCTGTATTAAACAGGAGATAGTAAGACTGCAATAGGAGGTTCATAATGAGATAACGAATATGTGAAATATGTGAAACAGGTGGAGGCATATGTTGAGAAAAGAGATCATATCACTAATAATAAGTCCGGATAGTATAAACGAAAAAATTCGATAGTATTGAGAGAATGTTTGCATGAAGGGCATATATTATGACGAATAATAATAATAATTGCAATAATAAGCAAAGAAAAAAAAACCAAGAGGGTTAAGGGGAAGGAGGCCTCTTGGTGAGAAGAAGAACCATCAATCCAAAAGAATATTCTTTGTTCAGATTGACTTTTAATTCATAATGTGGGAATTTTTCACACTATCAAGTGGTGGAGTGTTTGCCAACCACACACCACGAGTGGTCCGGATTTCGATTTCTGGCCAACTCACTCTCCTCCTCCGAAACATCGATTAGCCGGTAGTAAGCCCAGAAAAGAAGGAAGGTCGGACGCGAAGCTAGCTGTCTTACCCCATAGAAAGGTAACACCAGCCGCTACTGAAAGTTCAAAACTCAAGTTTGAATGAAAAAAAAATATGGGGCGAATCACCGGTTTTTGAGAGATACTCTACTTCGCAGGATGTACTATTTGACAGGTAGAGTTAGAGTACTGCAGCATACCAACGAGCCACTTTTTACCGCTGTTACAAAGTCACTTTGATTGTTAAGCATCACACATGTATGACACTACCGACGTGGAAGCGTTTCTGTATCTCTGTGGCGGAATCATCCGTAAAAATATCACTTTGGTTCTATGGTAACACATGTTATATTTAAGTACACCGTCTGGTTGTACAAAGTAAAAGCTGACCCCACCTTCCACACATACAAACAGCAGTATTGCACTGCATACTAGTTGTTGTTTGTGCTTTCTGAGATAGTTTCGGTCAAATAGCTCCACTCTTCGAAGGTTTTGTGATTGTCGCAGAGTTTAGAATCAGATATCTTAGCTGCATAGGTATATTCATCACAGACGAGTAGCCGGCTGTATAGCCACCATAACACACACAGGAAATAAAAAAACACATTCTTGCCTTGATTTCCATTCATTGGGAATATTGGATATCGTTTACCTTATGGGGAAATTTTCTACAAAACATTAAGAAATGGCTTATGTTTACAAAACTTAGATATTACTAGCACACCTGATTCGGACAGACAGTAGAGACATAATTGAGGAGTCTTGTTTAATCACCTATCTCTCATGTAGCGAAAAAAAACTGCCAAAAAACAAAGCCACTAGGTGTATTGAGTACTGCATAAAACAATGGCCATAGCAATTGGCTTATAACACCGGGAACAAGTCCAGAAGCCATTGTTGACACTCTGCCCTGCTATGGAATCTATAGATTGGTAAATACTGTGTGACGTCATAAATCATAACTATTATGGGTATATGGCTGCAGCACCTGTAAAAAAAGAAGTTATTGAGAAGAAGGCACTTTCTATCACAAATCAGCGTCTTGAAGTTTTTATAATAGGCATCTTTAATACGCAACTGAACTGATTAGGCTGAGGTGAGTCAAACCGGGTACACACTGCTGATGAGCTCGGCCCCGAACGAGCGAGATGGTCCTTCAGTGTTCAGGAGGTCACTTTGATCTCGCTAGCGATTACTACTACTGTGGTGAGAGCTGTCTGCTAGCCAAAATTGGTGGACAGCAATTTACGTCAATGTTTACGTCCCAAACAGTGGACGTAAACACAGTGAAACAGTGTGGATTAACATGGACGCAGGTGAAAAGTACAGCAGAAGTCAGAAGCAAGTGGAGACGTGTAGCTGAAGCCCTATGTTCCACTAGGAACCCAAGGGAACAATAATAATAAGAATAATAATTACGTCCCAAATCTTGGTTGTGAGAAAAAACAAGAACAAAGACTAACTCAACAACCAGTAACAGCAGAATTAGCATGGGCGGATATGATTAGCAGAGATATCAAAGGACTGTCTAAGAAACGCCAACAAAGAGATGACAGAATAACTTTCAGCAGGAAAATAACCAATCAGAAGACGTTACCTCTCTGATAACAATAACGAATAATAATGTACATAAAAATCTATAAATATCTGATGATTTTCTCAATAAACGATCAAGATATCAAATTAATGACAAATTACCTAATCCACGCCATCGAAAACGTCGTTGACGAACGCGGCCGTCTTCGGTGTGTAAATCTCCATCTTCTAAGTACAGTTCCTGAAATATATTCACAACAACAAGATTATTGATTATTATTGAAAAGCATTAGAGATAAGTAAACAAGTAAAGAGCAAAGTAACAGTTAACAAGAAATAGGTGACATAATTCAAATGACTGACTCAGTCAGAATCAGAATGAAGAAAATCAATAAAAAGGGAATTCAAAGACACTCAGATGATGACTTCAAAACAACAGATAGGTAATGTCGAGTATTGAACACATCGAAATTATCTTGAAAAGACAGTTGTCGGGTGTGAGTATTAATGAGAATATAATTACTCACTACTATACAGGTACATTCGGTTGATGAGTGGTAAAGGAGACGAAACGAGTGTCCTGGATTCCACTGATAGGCATCCCTAACCAAATATTCTTACTTAATTGTTACTGAGGTTTTAATCCGTTAAAGTAACATTTCAACTTTTCATAACTTTACTAGAGGTTGAAGAACAGTTCTAGTATCTAAACATAAACGTATATCGGATTTAACCGATAAATATGCACTTCTAGATTCATTCGCTATATTTTGCATGCATCACTAACACTGTTGTTAGGCCTAACGAACAGATTGGTCAGTGGATGATAGGTGGCATAAGTCTTAAATCTTGAACGAAGGTCTATTTGATGATGTTCAAAATGTGAAAAACAAAACATTCAATAAATCAGTTGACTGATGTGCAGTACGCACCCACCACCAGGGTTCGAACCCAGGGCCTTCTGGTTACAAGGCGAGCTCGCAAACTCTTAAGCCACTGGGGCCCATGAATTCCAACTTCTGCCAATTCACAACATGGCGCGACCACTAACCGACGGTTTTTGGCAAGTATTTGTCCTCACACCCGACCTGCTGTACCCTACTACTGGTCACGACTTCCCACTAGAACGAAACAGCTGTTTAGTACTCCCAGGTTTTTCAATGGGCCTCAGCTCATAATGAAATTCTGAAAGCAATCAATCAAATCCCTACAAACTGATACTTGAATGCGAAATTATTTACTGGGTCGGAATATGAATTTAAGCAAAAAAAACTTTCAGTTTGGCGAAAATGTGTTACTTTTCAATTGCCAGTGGTCTACCACTGAACGACTGACGCGCACTAAGTTATTAGATGATTGGAGGCATTCAGCCGCAGGAAAGTCCGATCTGACCTAGGTTTCGTGCTTTTGTTGGCACTCTCTAACTAGTCAGCAGGGCGTATCTGCAATCTTGAAGGAAGTCATTTCCCTTCTGAGATTCAAATTTGTGTCACACAGTGTTACAGTTGGAGACGTTACCACTGAGATATTCGGGCTGGCTCGCGATTGACCTTCCCCGTAGAAGTGTATTGGACACTTTGACTGGACACCGACTGTTAACTAGTATCATGAGTGTCTAGTCCTTGGTGTTTGGTGCAGACTGAATTCTATCAGTCGAGTTTACAATGTGGTCACAACATGCTAGGTGGCTCGACATAACGGTGCACTATGAATTGTTATTATTAGAGATGGTTGGAGGCAATCATCAGGAAGCTCTGAGTCTGTAATTTGTTATCCGTTAATATAGTATTATTATATAAACAAATCATATGCTCTATATCTCACGTGTAACTCAAGTGTTTGATTTTTTATATATGGTCAATAAAATAAATACAATGACAATACATACTACTGACTGATCGATATAATTAACTAGATACCACTCGTATCAACCATTAGTGCTTGCTATCCAGTCATATTGAAGTGATCTAAACATCGGACGGTCGTTTCATTCGTTTAGAGAAGAGGTCATCAGAGGTGTCCCCTGGAAGGATCCAGTTTAGAGAATTGAATCGGTTCAATTATGATTGCTTTCTTAATTAACATAAATCCGACCTAAACAAACTGGTTGGCTCTCACGAGGTGTGCAACATAGATGGCACTGAAATAGAAACCAAGTCAGAAATTAAATACCTAGACGTCATTCTATCTGCTGATCTCTCCTGGTCGTCTCATATCTTGGCGATTTCTAAGAAAATATTCCGTCTTACCTGCTACGTCAAGAAGTTAAGACATTCTGGTATAACCCAACACTTACTCCTACAATTCGTTCATTCTCGCATTCTGCCTATTAATCTCTATTGTTCCCCTTTAGTTTTTCCCGGGTTACTGAAGAAAGACTATAACATCATATTACGCAGGATGTTAAAGGTTGTCAGCAGGGTAAGCAGTGTGCCACTTAACCAGCTTGTTAATATTCTGGTCGACAGGCACATGGACTCATGTGAAAAATGGGCCAAATCCATTTTATCCAACTCATACCACACTCTTCATTCACAACTCTCCCCTTGTATCTCATCAGGCAAAACCAGAAGCCTATATAGAAAACTATATGCTCGCACCAGCAAGTACAAAAACTCAACCATACCCTACTTAGCTCGTGTTTTGTGCCATCAAGAAAGCAATAGGCGTGACACCTATAATTCATTAAATAGTCAGTAGTAAAACTGGACCCCGTCTTTCAAACTCAAATCATTTATAGGTACAACATTTTCTTTCTTTCTTTTCCTTTTCTCTCTCTCTCTTTTCTCTTTTTTCCGTTATGTGCTGCTTTGTTTCTTTCTCTCGCTTACGCCAGTAAATAGGACAGCTCCTATTTTTCGAACACCTTCAAACACTGTTCAACTTTGACTTTGCTACCGGCATGCCAATATGTTGTTGTCATAATGAACTGAGATTTCCTTAATCTATGTAGAATTAATTCTATTTATTGATAATGTACACAAACTGGATGCAATACTGTAGTAAAAATGCTGAGAATTCCATTCTGTATCAGAATTACTGTTTAGGAATAAAGCAAATTATTATTATTATTTGTGGTGAAATTACACACCTCAATAATCTCCAGACGATATAATATATATGCATCAAAATATAAGAACTATTTTTGTATAGTTTAACTGATTGGATTGATAAGAGTAAACACAATCATTACCTTGAGAATACGTATCTCACGTAAATCTTGATCAGTTTGTAATCGATGATGTACACGTTCAACTTGACGTCTTAAACGACCAGATGATGGAATATCTGCATCATTTTCATCAATTAAATCAGCAAGCTCTTCATCATCATCGTCATCATCATTTACATTCAATTCATCTTCATCATCCATATAATAGGCACGTTCATTTTCATCACCTGATAGCTCAGCTTCTTCATCGACAAAATCATTAACACGAAATCTAAACATTGTACAATAGATAATAACAATAATGAGTATTGATTGAAGATGAGCACAAATAACAGAATGAAATTTGAAAAAAAAAGTTATTCAAAGAATATTATTATAAAGGCAAATTTCGCAAGGAACTACTTTGTAACAGCTCTTAACTATAAACTGAGTGGATTATGAATTAATTAGGTAAATTATCAGTGGTGGGACACTGTCTAAAAACCCAACACGTGGTCTAGTGTTCGATTCCCAGCCGACGCATTCCTAAACCTCGCTAATCAGCTAGTAGTAAGACCAGTAAAGGGGGGAAGGTTGACTGTGAGGCTAGGAATCCCACCTTTTGAATAAAAACACCACTGCTACTGAAACTTCAAGCTGCAGGCTCCACAATGGTGAAACTGTGAACCTCAGCGTGATTTATGATTGTTATATCTGACTGAGATTAGTTAGCCTCATTTCAGTATATCCGTTTCAATATTAACATCATTAATAACTCAAATCCACAACGGAAAACTCAGCGAGGCGTTTGGAGTAAACACAGGAGTCAGACAAGGGTGCTTATGATTACCAATTATATTCCTAATTGTGGTGGACTGCATTATGTATGCGTCAGACAGTGGGAAACGAGAAGACAAGGATATCCTGGACCAACGTGAAGAACCTAGAAGACCTGGATTTCACAGATGATTTATGTTTGATGTCACACAAAATCGAAGACTCACAAGCGAAAACCGACAAACTGGTCGAAGAAGCAGCAAAGACAGGACTGACTCCAGGTGAACATAGACAGGACGGAGGTTATGAAAATAATCAACGAACTACAACAACAACAACAGCAGCAACATCCAGTGCCAATCACCATCAACGGGAGGGATTTGAAAGAGGTTACTTCATTCACTCACTTATCTAGGGAGCATTGTCTCAGAAACTTGGCGGTGGGTCACAAAGAATATTTCCAACAGCCTGTTGCACACCTTTATCAACAACTAACTGTCTTCACTGGCTCTATACTCAAGATCAGATGGCTGGAAAGAATCGCCAACAATAAACTATGGGGAGAAACAAAACAAGAACCATACGCTCAACAAATATGCAGGAGAAAGTGGAGATGGATTGTACACTCATTCGCTGGCTGAGGAGGCCACTCGCTGGGTGACATCGCGCGTCAGGCCAACGCTCGAGTGGAACCCGAAAGGGAAGCGGCGAGTGGGACGTCAGTGCAAGGGTGACATGGAGGAGATCGTGTGAAGAGGAGCTGAAACAGTATGGACTAACATGGATGCAAGTGAAAAGTACAGCAGAAGACAGAAGCAAGTGGAGACGTGTAGTTGAAGCCCTATGTTCCACTAGGAACCCAAGGGAACAATAAATAATAATAATAATACATTTTGTATGGGGTAGTGTAAAATAGTAGAGACATCAAATAGAGTGTATGAGATATTGGGGCTAAATGCGAAAGATTTAAAAGCTTCATGAGAAATAGTAAGTGCACATGAATATATATTTTATTTTCATTCCTTAAGTTCTAAATGGAACATAGAGTGTATTGCCACACCTAGATGAGCAGAGTAACCTTTAATAGTGTGATTAATGGAGAAAAACAAAAAATAACCCCAGAGGTTTTTTGGTAAGCAGAAAATAAATAAATAAATAAATTCATTAATTACTTTTTCTTCTTCTTTGTCACTTCAGTCGAATTCAAAGTAAGACGACGTTGTACTTCTTCTTCGTCATCATCATCTGCAACTGTATCCTCTTCCTCTTCTTCCTCGCCCTCCTCCTCATCAGCCTCTTCCACTTCACTATCTTCTTTAGCAGAAATAGTACCATCAGAATTATCGCTTGCTTCGTCTCCTTCATCTTCAGAATCATCTGCGTTTAACTTCTCATTATCGTCATCTTCGATGGTTCCTTCTTTTGGATTGCTATTTTTAGCTGTTTTTTCACCCTTCTCCACTCCCTGCTGCTGCTGCTCCTCGTTGTCGTCATCATCATCATCCAGAATGAGCACTCGTCGACGCGACGAACTCTACTCGTAAATACCAAAAAAAAAAATTTAGATAGCATATCATTCCAGTTAAACATACTGAAAGGGCATTGTAACCATTGTACGTATAATTTAACAAAGGAAGCTAAAATGATGTGTAATCGTGAGTGAGTGAGTGTTGAACTCAGCTAATGAAACTTCAGAACTCGGAGCCACATGGTGACCCAGTTGGAATACAAAGAGTGGAAAATGCTATCATTGGTAGTGGGTCTAGAACAAGGTACTCTTACGGAAGCGTATCGACGGTTGTTACTTCATGGTTGTCCACGCTATTTCTGAAAGGCGAAAAATGCGTCAGTGCTGCGTGAGCATAGAACCCAGGGGAAAAATGATTGAGGCTAGTCACACGTGGTTTGTTTCGAGTGGTTTTTAGAGTTTTGTCAAAATTGAAGAGCTCACTGTCGGCCATATATCGCCCTAGGATTAGTTGGAATGCACAGATTTTGTGACTGACCTTTTCTAAACTTCCTCCTCAAAGAGAGAAGATACGGTAGCTAACTGTTTACTGTAGTAACACGCCAGTAGTCCGGTTCTGCCCTTCCATCTTAGAATGTAGTGTCAACGACTTACACTATGATGTTGAATTGGTTTAAGTTATAACTGTTATCCAAGTGATTTATTTGGCGGAGTAGAATCTGTGGGGACATTCATTTCAACCAGTTTATCTCAATAGGTCATCGATAAATGCAAACCCAACCACCATATCAAAGTAGCACCTACAGTTCGGGTGGTAAGATGATGATAACACGGCGTCAATCCATGAAGTCTTTGACCATCTTAGGAAGTGAAAACCGCCTGGCGGCGTTAAGAACTAGTGGTTGGAGACTGGAATCAAAATAGTTCTAAGTGTCACAGAGGAGTTAACTTTTCTTGATATTCCATATTCGTTAAATTCTTATTACCCTCCATGTTATTATTATTACTATTATTATTGATGAAACACAAATTTGGTACATTATAGGCACCAGAGACGTGCCGTATAAAATGTCATAGTTTCTGCGAGGGCTGGGCTGCTGGCTGGCTGGATTCAACATAGAACTTGACACCGAAGTGCAACAGTTCGAGTTCCCACGTTCCAAATAGCACACAAAGGTAGACAAGACAAGAAGATGAGTGAAGAGAATCAATAGAGTTTTGACAAGTATAAGAGTGAAACAGAATGAGCAATGGTAGGAAGGAATATGAGACTGAAGATTACAGAGACTGAATACATCTGCGTAAGCCATTGACAACGATTTTGAGCCATGTCACCTATTGTCTGTCTCCAGCCATGGATTGATTCTTAGAGTCCCGAGGGCACCAACCCAGAAGTCTGCATCTCCCTACCTGACTTGACTCAGTTTAACTGTCAAGGAAGGATTTCATGGATTGATTAATGCGATGTTTTTGTTTGGCCACCACATCACTTACTCTTTTCCAACCTGCACCTATATCAGCTAGCTAGTAATGCCCATCGGGGGTGGGGGGAGGCGAAGGCTAGGCATGCGCAGCACTTGACCTAGCCATCTCAATCTATGTAACTTTATAGCCTCGTCGATTGATTTTCCCTCCTTGCCCAACACTCTACGTCTGACGTGTACATTACTTACCTTAGTATACCGCCTAACGTGAGAAATAGATCGTAAACATCTGTGGTCAAAAACACTCAACCTCTTCATGTCTTCCGCTCTCAATGGCCACGCTTCACCACAATAGAGAAGGACGGAGCGAACTGCTGAGCAGTACACACGTCCGTTGGTTGATAGCCGGATGTCACGCCTACGCCAGAGATGGTGTAAGTTAGCGAAAGCAGCCCGAGCTTTCTGGATCCGTGCTGAGATTTCGTCACCAGTCAATCCGTTGGTGCTGATACAACTTCCGAAATAGGTGAAGTGGTCAACATGTTCTATCACTTCACTCCCTATCACTAAGCTGGGAGTTGACGTAGTCCAGTCAGTCCTGTAGCAGCATCTTGCATTTCACAGGGGCGAATCGCATGCCAAACATACAAAGATTGCTGCACAAGGTGTTCAGAAGACTCTGTTGTATTTTGTCAGCGTCCTCCCCTAACAGGACTATGTCGTCTGCGTATTCTAAGTCTATAAGACTATCCCCTGGTAACAAGTCGATTCCTAAGTCGTTAAGTTCAGTTAAGGAAACTTCCATTAGCATATCTATGATGAAGTTAAACAGAAAAGGGGAAGTGGACATCCTTGACGGACACCACTGGTTGTTATCAATTCAGATGACAATTCCCCATAAGCCCTTACACAGCTACGTGAGTTCGAGTAGAGTGCCTTGATTAGTGCAATGTACTTTCTTGGCACTCCCTTCACAGTCAAACATTGCCATAGTACCTCTCGATCCACGGAGTCGAAGGCCGCCTTCAAGGCAAGAAATATGGCAATTGTTGGATGCCAAAAAGTGTGTCTATGTTCTAGGATCTGTCGGAGAGTGAAGATATGATCTATGCACCCTCTACCTGGCCTAAAGCCCGCTTGATTTTCCCTCGTTTGTTCCTCTCGAGTTCGGCTTAGTCTGTGCATGATTACTGAGCCTAGGATTTTAGAGACTATGTTCGTTAGGCTGATTCCTCTATGATTATCACATGAGGACTTGTCTCCCTTCTTGAATATTGGTATAATAAGTGACTTACCCCAATCTGATGGAACCGTCTCTGATTCCCAGACGTTACCTAGTACCTTAGTTAAACTATATACTAGTATGTCACCCCCATATTTAAGCACCTCCGGAGTAATTCCGTCGGGTCCTGTCGCTTTGCCTCGTTTCAAATTACAGATAGCATTTGTGATGCTACTCGGAGACCCACACTGAAGCAGATAGTTGCTTCAAGGGGTCATCCTCAAGCATTTGACTTGAAACCTGATCCAAAAACTAGTGGATAAGCATTCCTATGGTCGCCAGTGACATAAGCAGATTCATACGATAGTCGATGATTTAGGATGGTTCTGGAGCCCACGTACAGCTTAGGTTTGGGATCGTTATTTCCCAGGTCCCCTAAGTAGAACAGCATGTCCATCAGTCCGGTTGTAAGAGCCAGAAGCTCGGATTCTCTCTTTCACTTTTATAGAGGAACACCACCACCACCATGTGAAGGCAGTGAATAGGACTCAGCTGGCAGAGGCTAGGAACGCGTGGTATTTCCAGAGACAGAGAGGGGGAAAGAGATCGAATTCTACCCACCCTCTGCCTTACCAGATAGTTTATGGGGGAATTAATTATTTTTCAGTCTATTCTAGTTTCTTTGGCATTTCCTTTCTTCTAACTTTGTGGACGCTTTTATAAAAGATGTAGCAATCGGAACTACTGTACTTCAGTGTAAAGTTCTATGTTGAAAATCCACTTAGTGTGAACAAGATTCTGTATGAGACTGAGTGTATACGAAGTTAAGAGAATAGACACAGGCTCACATCAAAACAGGTGAAGTAGAATTAAACACCAACTGTGCGTGCCTACCCCAAACAAATCGCATCTTTGGAGAAAAGACATAAAATTCTACTGATTCAATATAAAAAGCATTTAAAAACAAAGACAATAATAAAAATATCTTACCTGTGTTGAAGGCATAGAAGATGGTAGCGAAGAATCTTGGGGGTCTAAATATAAAAAACAAAGAAATGATAATCTTTAAAATAACTTTCAAATATAAATCTTTATTTAGAAAAAAACGGAAAAAGTTTTTAAGTCTGTAGAATTTTCTTTTCTGCCTACTTATCTGAATTAGAAGTCTGTGATCGATTCTTACCTTCTGATTGTCCACACCATGTAAGTTAATTTCTTCTTGGAATACGTGAAATAGGAGAAGCCTTGGTATTGCACGACCACAAAGCTCAGAAGACAACTGTTTCAGGCTGGTACTTAGAGTTGTATACGTATTACAACCGAGATGTACAATTTTCGGGGTCGAAATGCTACATCCCAAGAGCAGACCACGATACAACTCATGTACAGGAATGGAGTCCTATCAATTGATGATATAAAAAAATTGAGCCGATTGATTTGTTTTCATTGCTATATAGTTAGGTGAGCATTATTCTTATTATTGTTTCCTTTAATTCCTAGAGGAACATAGGGCTTCAGCCAGGCGTCTCCATTGCGTTCGGTTCGCTCCTACAGTCTTCACCTGGCTCCATGTCTGCCCACAACCTTTCATCTCCTCTTTGCATGACCTCCACCAAATCACCCTTGCACTGATGACCAACTCGCCGCTTCCCTTTCAGTCGGGTTCCACTCGACCAATGGCTTGTCTAGTGATGTCACTCACTTGATGGTTTGTTTCCTCAGAGTATGGCCAGCCAATCCATCTCCATTTCTTCCTGCCTATTTCTTTCACAATCCGTTCCTGCTGAGTTGGTTCGCTCATTGCCAGAGATCCCTGTTGCTGATCTTTTCTGGCTGGCCATCTGATCTTGAGTGTTATTGAGCGAAGACAATGTTAATGAAGGTCTGTAGTTTGTTTGAGATGCTCTTTATGACGCACAGTGCAAGTCTCTGATCCGTATAGTGAGTAGCACTGACTGGCTTCACATTGGAGTTGAAAATCCGGATCTTATCTTCGTTTTGATGCTGAGTAGGGCTGTTGACCTTGACACAAACTTGATAGTAGTGAAAGCTTGTCTTGCTTTCCCGATCCTCGCTGTTTTGATATCCTCGTCAGTTCCGCTGGCCTGTAGTTGAGACGATGCTTCCCAGGTCGGCTGGTGAAGGAGGTTGTTTCTTTCAGGTTCCTCCCACTTATGCTGCCTGATTGTTGTCTGTTGTTGTTGTTGCTGTTGGTGGTGTTGGTCAGGAATCTTCATCACCACATCTGTTTTCTCTATGTTCACCTGAAGTCCTTCCTATCTTCTCTGGATGCTTCTTCTTCCAACTTGTTGCTTTTCACTTGCATGTCTTCCAGTTTGTGGGAAATCAGACATATATCATCAGCGAAGTCCAGATACTCCAAGTTTTTTGTGTGAGTCCATTTCATGCCTGTTTCCTCA